TGGACCCAATGATGTCTTGGCTTAACCCAGTGATGTCTTGGCTTGACCCAATGATGTCTTGGCTTCACCCACCACCACCTTGGCTTGACCCCATGTCTTGGTTCCCACCAGGTCTTGCGCAACTTCACCATCGAGGCGGTGTCCACCGAGGACATCCGCACTGTTTTCCGCTTCATCCTCATGCCCGAGAAGTCGCCTCTGCTCACCTTCCGCCTCCTCGACTGAGCGGGGGGCGGTCCCTGGGGGGGGACACACGCGGTGTCTCAACCCTGGGGCCACCTCCCCAGGGTCCCCCCGTGTTGGGGGGGGACATGGTGGGAAGAGCTGCGGGGAAGGGGGGGTGGGGCAGGATCCCGTGGTCCCCAAAGCACCAGGGGGAGGCGGCGTGCAAACTATATGCAAATGAGCTGCCCCAGAGGCTGATGGGAGCAGAGCAGGAAGGGGACCCCACCCCCCCAATAAAGTCTGTTTGCAGGTGCAGCGCTGTTCTCATTCGAGAGGGGTTTTCGGTTTCTGGTTAAAAAATAATCAGCCACCATTCTGCTTGCTGAGTAAGCCTCAGTAAAATGCTAATTTGCATGAGCATGCCGAGTGTTCTCCGAGTTGCTGTCCCACGTAGCTGTTTTCCGATGCACAGAAATAAAATAAAAATTGTAATTCAGTCTTACGTAGTACGGAACGGATAGAGAAATGAGCACAGCTCAGCAGGTGTTGACCCGTGACAAATCTGGTTTGGTTCATGTCACAACCAGCCAAAACCAACCAGCAAGACCAGGAGTAGTGAAAAACAGTTATTTATTGGAAAGGATGGATTCACCTTTCAGCTTCAGTGATGACTGAGCCTGCATCCAGGCTGAGATTAAATCAAACCAGGCTGAAACTGAGCTCTTGCAGGATTTCTGGTAACTGGGACTGCTTTTCTCCCAGCTTTTCTATTCCCTTCTTCCTGCAAGCTGATCCACACGGCAAGACCTTTGCAGCCATCAATAGCTCCAGTAACTCCAGAAGGATCTCTGTACGAGCATTAAAATCCTTTTGAACCTCTCAGGCTGAAGTCCTACACCTCCGTACTGTATTTTCTGTGCCTTGAGACCTGGAGCCAGAAACTGCAATAGCGGAGTAGGAGGTTTAAAGGGTCAAACGCCCAAATTCAGGCTTGAGCGGCCACACTTGAGAGCTGCACTGTCTGAAGGATGGACATTCTGTACTGTTAAACTGCACAATATAAATGAGTTGATCATCTGCCAGTGGACTGAACTTAAAAATCTTCATTTGCTGTAATTGTAAACTGGGAATCCTCATTTTGATTCTATCAGTTTGTTTTAATTTCTTTTTCAAGGACAATATATTTCAGGGTCCTATTTTTAACATTCATTCCTGTCTGTTTCCACTCTAGCCCTCAAGAAGGTCTTTGCTGAACATAAAGATATACAGAAATTGGCTGAAAAATTCATTCTCCTGAATCTTGTGGTAAGTTTTCCAGTTCCACTTCATTAAGTGAAAGCAATAAAGTTCTATTTTTAATTATGGCTTCTCTAGCTATAATTAGTCAGTTTAATAGCTCAGATTGGCCATTGCTGAAGCATAATAGATTTAGTAATAAGCCTCTTTCATCTGCAGCTATCATAAACTCAGAATATGAGGGAATTTAAAGTTTAATAATAACACGAACCGTTGATATCAATTTGCAACTGCGGCTGTTTAAAGACTGCATCCCAGACAGTTAATCTCTTAAACCGCGACATGTATTATTTAAGCTCTATTTCATAACCCAAAGTACAATGAAGAAAAGGAATATTTATGTAATTTTCCCGCAGTCGTGACTGGGAACCTTATCTGTTTTCTTCCAGTACGAAACCACAGACAAGAACCTTTCCCCTGATGGCCAGTACGTCCCTCGGATTTTGTTCATAGGTGAGTACCTCAAGCATCAAAGGTGATGTCAGAGGGAAGCCCTGGCTGCGCCACGCATCTCAAATCCTCAGGCTCATCACAGGAATTTGTTCCCCGAGAAATACAAGATTTCTTGTTGGTTTTGTCAGATGAAATTTCAAAGCAAACCCAGCCAGGTCCTTAGCTTAGGTCCAGCATTCCTCCCTCGCGGATTCCACGAATGACACAATTCCTCCCATCATGTCATCAAAATGACGTGACGCCCCAGTCACTGGGATGGGTAGGCACTGGCTCGTCCTCCTGTCTCTAGAAATACCATAAACCCGTCAGGTTTCTGTTTGGGACACAGCCTCAGGCACCGCAGGAACAGCAGTGACCCCACATGCTCCGGGGGCTGATTTTCAAAGCTCCGTACCCAGTTCTGTCCCCGCTGACCCGCACAAACTCCCCGGAAGCATTTGCATTTCGGAGACTCCTTAGGGGCCATGCCTGCACCCAGGTATCCCCCCTCCCACAACAGATACTGCGTACAGGCATCGCTGACACATACCTTTACAAATCTAGGTCACCACGACCATTTTCAACAGAAAACATCATCTCTCCTTTTATTTTTTTCTTTTTTAATAACGTTTGTAGCCTGAAAGCAGCCTCAGCTCATAGGGTTAATTCAGGTGCAACGCAGCGGCACAGGGTGTAAAGCTGACCGACCCTGATCAGAATTAAACCTGTCCCCTTCTTAATAAACCTGCAAACACAACGCTTAAAACTGAAAGGTGAGCGACTGTGTAGAAGAAGGACCTGTTGGCTGTTAGTGGAGGCAGACTTGTCTTGCAGAAGCGAGCAGAAGCGCGGAAAGGTTTGTTTCCTTCCAGTTGAAGGTTAGTCCTCTCCTCCGCAACTTCTCTCATACTCTTTTTTTTTTTTTCCCAGATCCTTCCCTGACTGTGAGAGCAGATATTACTGGAAGATACTCCAACCGTCTCTATGCATATGAGCCCTCTGACATTTCGTTGTGTAAGTAGTGTGTTCTGAAATATTCTGAAAGCAGCCACGTTTCACACGACAAATAATACCACCAGGCATTACAGACCCTCACGATCAGTGCTTGGGGAAAGACAGGTAACCGGGATTAAAATGAATCGGGATGCTAGACTAAAACTCAGTGAGGTGGAGAGAGCGGTGGCAGAGCCCTGGAGCCTGAAACATCCATCCGCCTGCAAAGAAAGCAGGCGTCAGTAGGAGCTTGCATAATTCAGCAGGGTTGGGGGTATGCAGCGGGGACAACTCTCGTGTACAAACCTTACTGGGCCAGGTGGGGAAACCTGCTGGGAGCTCCGCAGGGTTGGGAGCCACAGTCCTCCCTCACCGCTGCACGGCTCCCGTCCTGTCCCAGCCACTGCCCCTGCGTTTGCAATAACGGACGGACCTTCTCACCAGCCAAAATTAAACCAGTGCCATTCACAAAACGCTTGGAAGAGCACAGTGCCTCAGGATGCATATAGGAACAGGCACGCGAGCATTATTATTATTTAATAATAATGATGTTTTCTCTACGGTATTTGTAGTCGCTGGCAGAGGAAGCTGCAACAAAAATAACATGTATGAATATTTCATTTCTAGTGTATTCAAATATGCAGAAAGCGCTGAAACTCCTGAAGACTGAACTGTGAGGGGAAGAAGGAAGCCCTTAAATACTATGGAGTCTGATCTTCCATCTCTTTTCCACTCATTGGAACTGGTGAAGAGACTATTTAGGGTAATATTTAGTGATGTATAGTGCTGGTTTATATACATAAACACTACAGTTTTACATTAGCACTTTTGTACTGGGCAGCATTTTTAAAAGCTGGAGGCTTTTAATTTAAGGCATACAGAAGAATACTGTATGATCCAACTGTAAAAATGATTTTTTAAAAAATAAATCCATTTCAAGTGTTTCCATACAAACCGTTGCTGTGCTTTGTGTTTTTTGCCTTATTATTATCTTATTGCCTTATTATTATTATAACGGAGTAAAATCACTCCGTTCCTTGAGACCAGAGCTTGCAATTTTACATCCGAGCACTTTGGAAGGCAAAGGGCTGTCGTGGGGCAGCCCCGGGCAGCAGCTCAGCCCCATGCAGCTGCTCGCTCCCTCCCTCCCTCCCCTCCAGCAGGATGGGGGAGACAACCGGAAGGGCAAAAATGAGAAAGCTTGTGGGTTGAGATAAAGACAGTTTAAGAGGTAAAACAAAATCTGCACGTGCAAGCAAAGCAAAACATGGAATTAATTCACCGCTTCCCACGGGCAGGCAGGTGTTCAGCCATCTCCAGGAAAGCAGGGCTCTATCACGCGTAACAGTTACATGGGAAGACAAACGTTGTAACTCCAAACATCCCCCCTCCCCTTTCTCCTTCTCCCCCCAGCTTTCATGGCTGAACACAATGACATACGGTATGGGATATCCCTTTGGTCAGCTGGGGCCAGCTGGCCCAGCTGTGTCCCCTCCCAGCTGCTTGTGCCCCCGCAGCCTGCTTGCTGGCGGGGTGGTGTGAGGAGCAGAAAAGGCCATGACTCTGCGTAGGCGTCAGCAATAACTAAAACATTGTCAACACTGCTTTGGTCACAAATCCAAAGCATAGCACCATAGAAGCTACTATGAAGAAAATGAGCTCTCCCCAGCCAAACCCAGTAGGGGAAAGCAGCTTATCTCCCAGTTTCAGCAGCCAGCTCAGCTCTGTATTGCTGAGCCTGCTTTATTTCCACTTAATTTGTCGTAGCACTAACCTATGTCCAGCTCTCATTACCAGCCCTTTCTTTACAGTTTAGGTAACAAGAAACACAAAACTTTTACAGAGAAGTACTTGAGACTAGAGGATGGGATTGTTTATGGGTTGTTTTTTTTTTTCTTTGTTTTAAACTGGCTGCATTCTGAAGTGATCCAAGGATCACCTGATCACCTTATCTACCTGAAGATGGCATTTATAGAAGATCAAAAGCTGCTTCCCTTAAAAGATTCCTGCTTACATCGCAATTCAGTAAAGCCTTGAGATGATTAATAGAAGTGATACGGTTGGTTTCATGATTGCGTTACAGCTTGTGATCACTTATTTGCAAACCCAAAAGGGACAAGTCAAGTCAGAACGAAAAGAAACGCTGTAGCTGAGCCCCAAGGGAGTACACACCACTTCAAGACTTAGGCCAAAAGGAGACTTTCTGACCTCAAATATTTAAGAACTCTGCAGCAGCACCAGTGAGAAACACTTTGCCCAGGACTATAACTGCACTATCTTCTCTTTTTTTTTTTTTTGGCAAGGTCAGTCATTATTATCATTACTGCTACTACCAGGCATGATGATAATCACAGTAGAGAAATACACTCGGGAGGGTAGGACAGGCAAGAGAAGCGAGGGGGGAATTGCTCAATTAAATTAGAAGGAAGGAACTTGCTAATACGCCATTGGCAAGGTGTGTGAATCCTGCCAACCAGGAAATCTCAAACAGTACCTGGAAACGGCCCAACACGCAATGGAATATTCCTTCAGCAATTCAGTAAGATGTTCCTTTCTATTGCAGCATCCTTTAATTGTGATGAGGGAATCCTTTCCTGCAGAAAGGTCTTTCCCTTCCTTCCCAAGCAGAAGATGGGCGGGGAGGGGGGAAGATGCAGTGGGGGCAGAAATATTCTCTAGAAGCAGCCATCATCCACAAAAAGAAAAAAAAAAAAAAGGCAAAAAAAACCCCAACCCAATGTTTACAAAACTGAGCAGAGGGACAGCACAGAGGGATGCTGGAGCAATGGGATACCAGAACCATCTTTACCTGCTCGACCCAAAGTCCACTTGCTAGAGCTGTGTAACTAATATAAAACAAAGGCTGCTGCACGTAACATCACATTTTAAAAAGTCTGTCTTTATAACTCTACTGAAGGAGCATCGCTGTCCTAAGCTAATGCACCGATGCTATAGATAATATCCAGTAAATGGATATAAGGCATATTCTACAAGGGTCTAATAGTCTACGTGCTATAGATGCAAATACACAAGCCAGAACAGTCTGCAAGGATCGAGAAATTAATTTTTGAATCTGAAATTAATTTTTTGCACTCAATGCTCTGGTTTTATAGTTTGCTTCTCACCTCAGCCAATTTTTCAAAAATCTCAATACTTAAATGGTCAACTTAATTCTGCTCTTTTCATTCTCTCCTCTAAATACAGATTATTTAGGACTACAGAGGCATCAAGATAAGTAGTTACCTAAAGAAAACCAAACAAACTACCCTTTCAATTTCTTCAGAAAACCTGGGGAAATAATTTCTGAAGTATATATGCTCAGTAACTTGAAGTGCAAAGGATGAAGGAGGTTTCCAGAATTCCACTACCATTCAAACAATCTTTAAATAATTAGGCCTAAAAATAATAATGCAAGCTAATAACACTAACACATTCCTATTCACTTAGCAGCTATAGATTTTAAGGTGTATTTTTACAGGTATCAATTCAAATTATGCAAGCTTTTTATTTCTGTAACTAGTTATTTTCACGTGAGAGGAGTCAGACGTCATCCAGTGGTATCAGCATTTTAATTAACATCTGGGTTCACTCTCTTACACAGTTGCAGAAGAGTATTTTATAGCCAGTTAATTTTATGTGACAAAAATGTGTAGGTGTCTTGAAAGAAGTCAAGACACGTTTCTACATTTTCCAGAATAACCAACTTGAAGAAAGCATTTCAATGTAACTTAGGTCAAAAGACATCTAATGTAAGCATTAAGAATGCTCCAAGTTAAATTGCTTTGTTGTTTTGCTACTCTGCCGCTGTAAATAATTGTAACCAGATTTTCTAGAAGCTAAGTCCAATTCTCAAACAGTCAGGTAAAAATCCAAATGCCACGCTAGGAACCAAGCAAAAACCATCTTTATATGACCAAAACTATTTTCTCAAGAGGAAAGACAGCAACGAACAAAGCAAACTTCAAAGACAGAAGCCACCAAGAATAGGTACAAATTTAAAAAAATTAAATGCTGTATTTCAACACATCAGAACATTCCCTGTACACCGACACACGAGTCAGCCCTCTCCTGAGGGAGGTTAGTCTCTTCCCCACCACCACCCCAAGCAAAGTCAGACTCGATATGTTTTATCACCCCCCTTAAGAATTCAGTTCTGAAAGTGGATCCACATCTCTGATGTGAATTTCAGGGTTTGTGGTTGTTTTTTTTTTTTATTTTTAAATCACAGTAATAGCAAGTAGTAACATTTTCAGTATTTTTTCCAGTGATGCACATTTACACTCCAATATCACCTACCATATTTATGAAACCCAAAACTAAGTACTAAAAACAATTAGCAAAAAAAGTCAAAATTGAAGCAGCAATGCAGTATTATTTTAAGCTTCGTACACCCTCTCCATAAGACTTCTCCTTTAATTTGTTACAGTAATGTACAAAATACAGAGCCTGTCTAAACTAGGAAAATTAACTGTTGCTAAAGTCAGCCATGAGATGATCACTGTTCTCTTGATGTATGTTGAGAATGGCTGGTTAGTTGCTTGGACAGGACAGGGTAAAGTAAGCAGGACAGCACTTGGGGGGAAAAAAAAAAAAAAAAAAAAAAAAGCTGTGTACATTTACATTATACTTCAGTAATAGCCTGAAGGCTTTTAAGATCTTTCAGTACATGAGTGGGCTCTTACACTGAACGTTCAAGTATGTACTTGAAACAGACACCAATACTTCTCGACACAGGTAGCAGTAATTCACAGGCCAAACACCAGGAGATGGCGCTGACAGCAGATGTTGAAGAATCAGCTACACCTGAACAGAAGCTGTCTTTAGCAAGATCTTGACTTCCCCCTGCGTTTGGGTTCAACTCTTCCCCTTTGAAACCTCGCGACAATTCCTTCTTTAGAAGCACTAGGCACAAGAAAATCTGAAAGCGTTCTGATGGGCATGTATTTCAACTTCTTTTTGCCACAGGAGCAAGGAGGCACCTCCCTAGTAAAGGGAGGCTGTATGAGAACCCACTTCTGTCTGCCCTGCCTTCCTTTCCACCCTGCTCAGCTGCTGTATTCCTTGGCAGATGGCCTTAATGGCCTTAACTCTTCCCCTTCTCTCCTTGCAGAGCTGTCTTTCAGGCTACAGCAGCGGCCTACCACATCAGAAACAGCAACTGAACGAAGAAAAGGTGCACTGCAAGTATTCAGCACGATTAGAAACAAATGGAACATTATGCACCTTGGGTGTTTAGATGTCTGATGTTCCAGCTGATGTACCACTTCCAGTCGGAAGAGGGACCATGCTTTTCTTTAGCTCAGACAACACTTACTATACACATAACATACTGTTCTAACTTAATTCTCTTTCTTTTTGGAAAAAAAACAAAAAACAACCAAAACCACTGGAAACCATCTTTTTTTTTTTTTTTTACTTTTTCTTTTTTACACATCATTCACTGTCTCATGAAATCAAGGCTGTTAGCTGGATGACAGAGGAATATATACTGCTGAGTTATTACAACAATAATTTTACACCATCTGAAAAAATAGCTGTACAACAGCTTTCCAGACATCAAGTTTCTTACATTAAAGACAACAGACCACTATTGATTCTGATATTGCGCAAATACCAAACTTCATTCACTTGTCAAAGAAAAAAAAAAGTTTCAAGTTAATCAGCTGCAGATTACATTCTCCCAGTTTTCTTCAATCATTTTCTCATAGCGAAGATACCCATTAAGAAGTGAAGAATTATTTTTATTCTCAACAAAATGCTAAAGCTACCAGAAATCCAAAACAAACAGGGAAGGGAATGGGTAAAGACTACAGTAGTCATTAACACACACTTATGTGCACTACAGAAAAAAAACATCTTTACCTTCTACTTTTACCTTACAGGAAAGTGGGAGACCATTGTTAAGACAAAAAGTTGACTAGTGGTCATCCTAAAGCCTAATCAAATCATACAGTCCAACCATCCACCATATATTTTTATGAGAAATCATGTGCATTTTTGTAATCAATGAATACAGCAGAAAATACTTTTGGGTGGTTTTCAACACCAGAGAAGCCAGTAGTGCTATAAAACTCACTGTATAGCGTTCACCACAACCATTTATTGAGTTATTTAACCACCTCAGAGCAACAGTTGGACTCTGTCCAGCCACTGAACGCACCAGTCTACTTCAAGATAGAGATTCTTAGAAGAAAAATAGTATGAAATTAAATATGAAAACTACAAATTTCTTATGGAAATAAAGTTTTCTTTTGCGTACAGGTAGAACACCTATTATGGAGAAATAGCAAACTATGGAGAATCATTAGTTTGAAGTAGATGGTGCAGAAAGAAGATTCAGTCCTTTATAAACTTATCAAAGAAATGCACTAGGGTTTGCACGGGGATCCTTTTGGTTCCTGTATCTATACGTCAGCCAGACTCCCAGAATCTGAAAACAAAATGCAAAGATATTATTAAGTAGAGGGTCTCCACCCCATTTTCCATCAGTTTTACAGAATTTGTTTTAAACATAAAATCCTGACAATAAACTTCCAGTACACAAATTGAAGATATTTACCATTGCTAAAATCGCACAACCACACACCAGCTTTCTTAGTTAGAAAAAAGAATGCACCCTCTCAAAAAGAATTCATACCTAGCAAGAAAGAGAAGAACAAAGCAAAAAAGCCAAAACTGTACCTGCAATGAAACATGAAATATTTCTCACAGGCATGTCTAGCATTAAATTATTCTCTCTCTCCCCAAATGATAAATATTCATAAACCTGTCCTTAGTGTAACGATAAACAAATCCTCCAAAGTGTTTCATTTTAAAGTTACCACTTAACTGTAAGGCTATTTTGTAGAACATTTTCAAATCCTGTTGTTCCATCCAACCACCTTCCCCCCTTCCCAGCAGCTTCACATTTTTAGTAGAGAAATTGAGCACAGATGTCAGAGTGATTCTGGTTTAAGTTGCTGTATCTCTCTCGTTGCTGTAATATCTACAAACCTTCTGAAAACTGCACTAAGCAGCTGGAGTATCTTCACATGCTCTACTGCGGGGTTAAGAAAGACCTACTCTGTGTATTTTTTTATTCACTGATCAATAAAGCAAGTATATGTATCATCTGGATACTAAAGCAGAGAGTCAAATACCTTTTTAACCTGATGCTTAAAATACAGTTCACTCATAATGAAACTGTACCTCTGCACTCCAGGAGGCACCAAAAAAAATCCCCAAACCAAAAAACCCCAAAGACTGTGTGTGTGCACAGGTGGGGGGAGGCAGGAAGAACAGAGGAACAAGGTAAAACAGTGGTACCCTTTTCGTTACTTTTGGAGAATGGTAAACCTGAAGAGCTAACTTTCTGCAGAACTTAAATTCTACAGCACCACGTTTTAATGTGGTATCAAGATACCACATTACCACATTGCTGCAGTTTACAGTTGAAATAGCATTAAGTTGCAAGAACTCCCAGTGTTGAACAATGACAAGCTCTCCTTTTGGCAGACTGAAGCAAGCCAATAGTCTGGAAAAATTTGACCTAATTAATTTTTTGCCTCCCAAGATAGTACTGAGAGTTCCTGTAATAAACCCCCTAAAATTGTTTCACAAAACAAAGCTTTAAAAGTGGGGAAAAAGCGCTCAATTTTCTGACCTCCTACTCACTTACCTCTGTGAAACTGAAGAAGAGTCCTATGCCTCCAACAAATCTCAGCACCATTCCAGAATATTCTTCTATTATTGGTGCACATGGTTGACAGTGGTGACTTCTAAAACAGTCCTGTAGCAGATACAAACACAGAATTGCGCTCCATTTTCCAATGACTCTTCATTGACTGAAAGCATCTAGTTAGCTCTATAAAAGACTGACAGCTATGCACAAAACTCTAGCAGTTTTAAGACTCAAAAAAAGCAAGTATATAAATGACAATGGAGTACAACCTTTGCAGGGTGCTATGTGATTACGTTTCTAATAAGTTAAGAGCTTACCATTGTAACAACTACCTTAGACATTTTTTTAAAAACTCTTTCTGCAACTATAAACACACTTGTACACACTTGCACAAACACAATGACGTTTGTTCATGCTTCAAGAACTTACAGAGGAGCAGGTTTCATTCGGGTCAAAAACTCTGAATCCACAACAATTCAGATTTCTCTCAATGTCTGTTCTTGCGCTGTTAGTGTTATTCCACCCCACCTCTAGAAGTTGACTCTAGAAGGCATAAGCAAATACATATTATATTAATTGAACTGGTTTGCATTTCATTGGAAACCAATACACTAGGCCAAGCTGATAACATTAGCTGATAATCATTAACAATGATAACATTGACTGAACATTAGGAAAGAATTTTTCACAGAAAGAGTGGTCGGGCATTGGAATAGGCTGCCCAGGGAGGTGGTTGAGTCAGCATCCCTGGATGTGTTTAAGAGCCATTTAGATGTGGCGTTGGGGGATATGGAGTTGGGGGATATGGTGTAGGGGAGAACGTTGCAGAGTAGGGTAGATGGTTGGACTTAATGATCCCAAGGGTCTCTTCCAACCTAGACAATTCTATGATTCTATGAGTCTATAATTCCCTAAATAAAACCTTTGGATCCTGAAGTCTAACAGGATAATATATGAAAGAATGACTTGAATGTTCAAACAGCCTGTGTAGCTAATGAAATAGAAGCACCTAGCAGCAGCACCTTCATGGTTATAATTAATTTTCTTCCTTTCTTTTTCTGAAACCCGGTAAGAGCACCAGTTATGGGACATGCAACTAATCTGACTGGGACTGTTCAGATTTTAAACAAAAAGTGTGCTTACACATAGGAAGCTGATTATTCACTGTACCCTTGCCTGCTTCTTACGCAGTTAAGAATTAGTTTCCGTACTGCATGGAAGCTGGTTTTACTTTCACACTTAAGGGTCACCTCTGTTCTTAACGTAGTCATGACCTTTTCAGTTATGCAAGAACAGTTCAGTGGCTTTATCATCTTTACATTAGGATCACTGCAGTTTTCATCAGTTTATCTGGAATTGCTGAACACATGAGACAATCAAGATATCGTGCTGCTACACTAGTGACCATAAACCTACAAAGGAAGCTTAGAAACAAAACAAATTAAAAAAAAAACCCAAAGACAGCTGAAAGTAATTTTAGAAAACAGATGTGTTTCTTTCTAGCTACCACAGCCAAGCACTGCCTAAGGTCTAGCCCTTATTTAAAAGGATAATGCTCATCGTCTTAAAACATGCTCTCCCCATATTGTGGAAGACAATACATATATTTTTTAAAAAAATGTGTGTGTGTATGTACATACATATTTATGGTATTATGCTATAGATTAAGTGAGAAGTCAGGAAACTTTTCTTACCTGCTGTTCCTTGTTTAGTGCCAAACAGGCACAGGAGACAGAAAACTGGACAATAAAGACTAGCAAAAGAATAATCATGTACTAGAAATAGTAGTTAAGGATACACTCTCAATTTAATTTTGCTTTTATAACACGTATGCCTAATGGTATTCCTTATTTCATTGGATAACCCGAGGTCCTTTAACAAAATAACTACCACAGTAAGTTCTGACTGGATCTGGAAAAGATGACCCAAATAACGTTCCCAGAACTCAATCACCATATATTGTCCCCTTTTGGCAACAATTATACAGGGCTGGTATTTCTGGGTTAGGTGTTTCTTGTCTAGCAAGACAACATGACCAGAGAGATTAATAAAAGGAGCTTTGAGAAAGAAAAATCTACAGCCAAGTTCTCCAGCTTTAGCGACTCATGTTGTTATTTCAAGATACTTCACTTAAAGTAGTAAAGAAAATACTTTTCTGGGTATTTCATATTCAGAATTTTTTTTTTCTTCAGTGACATAGTCTTGTAATTAATTACAAAAGGTAACATTAGCCTAAATTAAAAAAAAAAAATTGGGCGTTGCTTTTGGAACACAGCCTCACACACTTTTGGACTAATGCATATGAAAACAGTATAAAAAAAAAGAACAAGATTTGATACTAAAGATCATATTTTGAAAGCTGGGCACTGTCTTCACAATTTGGCTGCTGTGTTCAGATGCAGATGCTTATCTCACGCAATTGAAGTGTTTGTAAAGCAGAGGTCACTACCTATTCATAGATAGCAACCAGAAAAATAAGAATTTTATCTGATAAATCTCTTTTCACATCCAAACAGATCAATTTTGTTATGCAAGGCAGCACCACAGGCTGCTTACACAGCATCAGTAAGCATACAGGGGCAGCAAAGCACACTGAGAAGGCCTGTGCCCATTTCTAGTCTGGGTTCGCAATTAAAGACTAGGTATGAAACCAAAGTGCTTCTTGACAGCCTGTACCCACAATGCAATCCCCTGCCAGCTACAATCCATTCGCTATCTGGAAGTATCGCCTTTCTCTACCGTTCAACATTAATAGTTTACATACTCTAGCTTGGTGTAGGGTTGAACACACAGAAAGAGGCACCTGTGACACAGTGACACACCATAAAAAGCTCTCAAAAAAATTAAAATATTTTGATTTTTAAGAAAATGAGACATTAATACTTGTGTCTTTAGAGCACACACAAGGGAGAAAAAAGGAAGCCGGAATAAAGTTAAAGGGGAAGGAAGTTTCATTTAGACTACACTCGACCAACATAAGACTGTAAATTTCTGTTCTGTTTCTCAGCTGACAGAGCAGGTTGTTTACACGTCTTGAACCAAACTGCAACCCATGTAATGCATCAGAAGGATACAAAGAATAGCAGTACTTGATGATGTTTCACTGCACCAATCAATCCAACCAAGGCAATAAGGAAGAGGAAGATTCCTACTGCAATTGCCACTCCAACAACTCTGAAACTAGAGATGAGGCCAAAGCCGATTCCCCATGCCGCAATTCCAATCAGCAGCAGGCTTACCAGCTGGAAGGAAGAGAAAACAAAAAGTTAGTCTGCATATTAGAAGAGGCTCAGCCTACATACAGCTACATTCTTTACAATTAAGTTGTTAATAGAAAGCTACAACCTTTCTTTCCAGTGCAGAGAAGCACAACCCGAAGCAAACCAAACCAATCCTCCACTTCATCATAGAGATAACTTCGGTTCCAGATGTTTTAAGGCACATATTCTTCAACACTGTTAATGTGGAGCTGTTACAACTTAATCTACCTACAAGTCAAGCCATATTGCACTACCTGTGACGAACTACAGACACTGAACTGTAGATTATAACAGAATTGACAAATAAACTAAAATCATTGGCTTGAATTCACAGAATGGAAGAATGAAAAGTCCAGATGTTTTCTGAAACACAGGCAGTATATTTAAAGAAAATACGATAGACAGCTCTGAACATGTAAAAAAGTACACTTTGCCAAAAGCTACCGTAATCAGGAATATAGCTGTATTAATTATTAGAGAAGCTTCTATGTAGTTGACGATATAACACAACAGTTAGCAAGGTAACACAGAATACTTCTTAGATCTGAACCTCAAGGACTTCATGTAGTAAAATAATAAAGGGGCCCTGTCTCTGCTACATATTTCTTCAAGAAAATAGCTCTACTGTGAAGTTAATCCTGTTTCTATACCCAAAACACTCTTATCCTGTTTCCTTCCTTTTAAAGATGGTATTTGGGGAAGGCAGGCAGAATCTGTCCCAGTCTGTTTACTGAGATTTATTGTTTATATGGGCAGGAAGCTCCAGCCTTTCCTGTTTCCATGCCAAAAACACAGAACAAAAAAAAAAAAAAATCCAACATGAAAAGCTGCAAAGAAATTTGTAATGAGGTAGGGCAGGAGGGAAGGAGCAAAGCCAACCCAGACATCCAATACACATGATGCCTTACTCTGTTTCAAACAAGAGAGTGCAAGACCTACGTGTAACATATCACCCATTACATTCTCTGTTAAATAACACCAATTCCACATGCAAGTTTTAACTTTCCAAAACCCTGACCTCACCAAAAAATACCCAGAATTTGTATCATTATTTTAAAAAACAAAACAAACCAAAACACAAACCAGTGAGGGCTTAGTCTAAACCAACTACTTAGCTTTATTTGACAAAAAACACAAAGTAAGCACTTACACTTGCTCACCAGTTTCCATTCAAGCAAGACATATCTTATGATGTTTTACTGCTTATCCACAGGGGTGAAAAAAAAAGAGGAAATTTCCAACTTATCCATCATTTCAATATACTTACCTTAGACCAGGGTATTTTTGTTGGTTTTAATACCAAATATGTCTGTGTATTTTTTCAACTTAAGTACCTTTTGAAAGACTGACCTATATAATGCTGCTTTTGAGACACGGAAATCTATGATAACATCAAGAACGCTAGTAAAACAAGTAGTGATGTTCATCAAGATCAAAACACAGAGGGTCTTTTTTTGTGTGTGTTCACACAGGAACACACCTGAAAAAAATATTTTTATCAAAAGCCAGTAATCCACAGAAGAAATTTAAGAGGGTCTGCAAGAAGAAAACGAGGATATCTGTCATACCTACACTTCTCTCTTACCACGTGAAAAGACAAAAGAACGATATAAAATTCAAAGGAATTGTTCAATACCAGTAGAGCTTTAGGATTAATTCATATTTGTCTTTGTTTCTCAAACAAAAAGCCTTAATCACTATGTTCAGTTAAAACCAAAACACTGGTCCAACATGTCATGAATCTAAATTGCAGACGGCTGGGGGGGGGAGGGGGAGAAAAAATAAAACAAAACAAAAAGCCTTGGCTCTGCCACAGACAGACTTTCTGAATGCATGCTGCACAAGGCTATAAACTTCCTGATGTTATTATATTAAAAATTAGCCTTGCTAATCAGAGAGTTCAGTGCAAGATCTACCTGTTCTGATCTGTGCCCACTCACTTTATTTCATTGTCTCATACCAGTGGGAAGATTTATTTTTCCACCTAAGCGTCAGAAGTGAACAACAAAAGAAACCCCATAACCCAATTTCCAATCAGAAACTGCTGGCTGATGTCCCATGCTCTGCATCAACTTCTAAGCACCAAATTCACACTGCCGCTACACAGCTCTTCAAAGAGTTATCTCATTAAAAATATTCAAAGGCAATGTCAAATTTCAATTTATTTCACAAAGAAAAGCAGAAGAAACTTTGCTTCTAATGATTTTCACTAATACTTCTTTCTCCTGCCTGAGCTATGCCTGCAAATATTTATTTTTACCAATCTGCCTCCAAGATACCAAGTGTATTTGTTTAGCTCTTTGCTAATTTCACAAGAGGTCTAAAACAATTAATGAAATGAGTTTTATTCTCATAGTATCAAAATCAAAAGAAGAGACCTAAATAAAATCTGTGCCTAAAACACCAATTGGATAAATGCATAGTACTGTTTACTGTTTGCTGCTGTTACTCATCTCAGCTTCCTTTCTTCTGAGGATACGTCCATGAAATTAGTGTGTATGACGCTAAAAGTTGTTACCATGACCCCCTGGCCCAAAAAGCTTTTCCGGTAGAAACATCCACATACTGAATCTAGAGCCACTAGAGTTTTCAAGTGAAAAAAAAAAAAAAGGCCTCTCTAGCTTTTAAACTTGCTGTTGAACCCTGGATGTTCAGGAATCAGGTGACCAGCTTTGAAAAAAATAAAACAACAGAAAATAGTTTAGTTTCTCTTTTGATGACATTCTAGTTTTAGAGCCACCAGCGTCATTTTCAAGTTTATCTCCACAATACCAAGGCTATATTTTCTCTTCTTTCACATGACAAAGTTGTTTAAAGGAATTAGACAATGGACATATGGAAATCCAGTACAATTACAGGTCCCTGTTACCGGGCTCTGGCTGGCAAGCTATGTGAAAATGCTGCATCCAGTCAGGCAGAAACATGATTTTGATCAAAATAACTAGTAGCTTCTCCAACTGTAGCCACTTAAAATAGTAGAAAACTGATCTTGTGTTTCAAAACTGAAGTGAAGACTGCAGGTTTACAAAACAGATTTAGTATTAAGTTCCTGTCTCCTCTGTGTGTTGACTGAGAGATGAAATGATGGTTATTCCTTCATTTTCAGACAGATTAGACAATCTGAATGTTGAGCAATAAAACTATATATATATCATTTTATAGAGTCATAACATGAAAACCTAAAGTAAACATATACTACTACAAACAGGACAAATAACTTATGCTGTTTTGGGAAAAAGTTTTATAAGTTTGTAAAACAATGCAAGGCTCACAGCCTTAGCCACTGTTTAGCCACTGGAAATGACTAGTCAACAGTGCTTATTGCAGTGTTTTGAAACAAAAGCATTGAGATGCCGTATTTCTCAAAGTGAAGCTACTGAGGCTTTGTAGTAAAATGTACTTGAAACAAAGTTACTTAGTGACCCTAACTACTTTTAAAATGACTAATATGTACATTCTAGCTTCATTTAATTACAAAGAAGTCATCTACTTCTGTTAAACAAAGGAAAAAAGACTCTCTAATGAGCTTCTGAACGTCATACTTCATTTTACTGAAACCACATTTCACAGCACTAGAACTCCCCCAAAAAAACCAGTGTCATTCTTGGAAGACCAAAGTACATGTGAAACTCCATTTTACCTACACAAGTTTACTTACATAAAGCTAGCCTCAGTTACTAACACTTCGAATATTTGCTTGATAAATCTACCAGAAATATATGAAATCACAGTCCAGTGTTTAGTGATTAGGACTAATCCCGTTTCCCACAGTAGTCTCATTAGTAAGCTGAAAAAGTGCGGGTTGGAGAAACGCCCTGTTAGACTGAATGACACAGGCTGGACTGCTGATCTTAAAGGGTAGCAATCGATGGCTCAGCATCCAGCTGGTAGCAGGTAAGAAGCACCACAAAGGCTGACACTGGGGCAAATATTATACAGTATCTCCACCAACAAACTGGGTGATAAGACAGAATGATGAGTCCTCAGAAAATCCGTGGATGATACTAAACAAGGAAGAGTGATTGACTCTCCAAATAGAGATTCGACTCAGATGGACCTTGATAAACTTGAGGAATAAGCCAACAGGAACCTCATGAAGTGCAAAATTCTGCTCCTAGGGTCCCTTCCATGGAGCCTGGGAACAGACCGGTTGAACAACAGTCTTCCTGAGATAGACCTGGAGATCACACTGGTTGCCAAGCTGAATATGAGCCAACCGTCTTCTCTCATTGCAAACCGGGAAAGCCAAGAGGTGTGCTATCAAAGGAAACTAAATGCTGGTGAGACTGCAGCTCAAATACTGTGTCCTATTTCGAGCCCCCCAGGTCGCAAAGGAATTTGAGAACCTGGAAAGAGTCGCCAAAATGGCCTGGAGCCTTGAGGATGGTGTTTGAGAAGCAGGTGAAGGAGCTGGGTTTGTTCAGTCTGACAAAGAGGCAGCCTGGGGATAATCTAATAGCAACTGAAGCTGAAGGTGCATTACAAAAACAATAGAGGCAAACTCTTCTCTGTATTGGCCGGCCACAAAACGAGAGGCAACAACCACAAGAAAAGGCTAGGGAGGTTTAGACTGGACATCAGAAAAAATAGCTGCAAGGTGGTTTGGTGCCGAACTCAGAGAGGTGATAATCTTTCTTCTCAGAGGTTTTCAAGACTCAGTAGAAAAAGCCACTGCTGCACAACAAGTGTTAGTTGTAATCCTGCTCTGAGCAGGAGCCTGGACATATATATGAGCCCCAGAAGTCCCTTCCAACCAACACTCCCACGCACCACAGCCAGCTCTTCCATCATGGAAATTTTGCCACTCTCAGTACCAAAAAAGAAAGTTTTAACAGGCAGCTAAGGGACAGATTTAGCACTTACCAAGGACTGTTCTGTACCATCTAGATCATTAAATAGACAACCACCAGCTCCTAAACCCCATACCAACAAAACATCTTCTTACAAGCAGTAAGGTCTCTCAATAAAAGAGGAATGAGTGATTCCTCAGAAGTACTTACACAGCTTCAGAAACACAAGTACGAGTCTTGTTCTGAGGAGTGATTTAAAAGGTCTGTTCACTTCAGGCATGTTTACATAGAAAGCCAACAGGCACTGAAAGCAAAAGAACTTATTACAATCTCAAACTGAAGCATTCTGTCTCACAGAAAGATGCTACAAGCATACACTGACCACAAACCAGAAAAGCAACACAGAGCTATGGGAAGTGTGCGAGTGTGTGTGGGGATGATAGCTACTATTTTAAATTTAATATTCTCATTTATTATATACTATCTTCTCTCTCTACAAACTTTAGCAACCTTATTTAAAAAGCACACAAGCAAACACAGGCTTGGCATAATCCAATATATAAACTCACCAATTTGAAATTAAGTAAATGTTTACCAGAACAAACCTATAGGTAGTGCAAATCCTAAGTGAAGATCAGTAGTGTTCACTATGAAATCAAGTACTTTCTCTATGGATTAAAAAAATTAAGAAAATCAAGCATATTGCCAATAAACAAAATGTTACTCCAATATCAGCATCTCTATAGGAAAGATTTTAGGGACTGTAAGTTCAAGATCAGTGGAATGGCTCAGAATCCACTTTAAGTGACTTTCATTATATTTTTTTATACATATATATATATACACATACACACACATTTGAACTTCAGAGATGTTTCAAAAATAACAATTTCTAGACAAAGAATTTCTTTGTCACAAAGACAGTAATCACAAGTTTGACTGTCCTCTTCTCCAGTCAGCTTATTAACATGATTAAAGCATTAGCCTTTATAGTACTTGTCGGGGGGGTTTCTTTCTCCTTACTGCTGCATAATTACTACTCCCACAAAAAAAAACCCTCCTAATTTGCTCTATTCTTTAAATCCAAGTTCCCCTGTGCACATAGCTGCTCATTTCCCTCACTCCTGTACTGGAAAAATGCACTTCTGTTCACACTTACCCCTTGTC